AAAAACTGCACAACACAGCCCACGCACATATGTGAGGGAGAAGACGCCTGGGGAAGACGCTGCAATCCTCCAAGGAAGCGACTTCTCTGTGTGCGCATGCTTCCTCTAGGCCACAGAATGGGGCTGGGGTCTCCTGCGAGGTCTGCCCAGCTCCAGCAGGCTGCGTTTTCTGGCAGAAGACAATGGGAGGGGGCTTCCTTTGCACCCCAGCATGTCGTGATGGTTCCACCAGTCATCTCCAAGACCACCTCCATGACTTCCTCCAGGAGGGCAGGAACCTTTTCTAGCCTGAGACTCCAGCAGGTCAAGTCCGGAGACGGCTGTGTCCCTCCCACTGGGGCAGTGCTTACGGGGCCAATACTGCGGTAGATGCACGTATGGGGGTTCTGGGGTGGAATACAAGGTGAGGCTAGATTGCTAAGAGCAACTGGCAAGGGCACCAGTCCCGGGCCGCCTGACCTCCCTCACTGCTGCCACGGCTACCTGGCGGCACTCAGTACCCTCTGAGGGCCATCTGGATGAGCACGTCACCGGGCAGAGGAACACGCACATCTTTCCCGAAAGCTGGGCTGCCCACGCTGGACTCTCCGTGAGTCCCTATGCAAAGCGAGGCCTGGATTTCCCCAGACCTGGGCCGTTACTCCTGTCCTTCTGGGAGAGGTACGAGCAGAAACCTCAAGCTCAGTTCTACCTCTGGAATTGGCCTTCAGGCCTCAAAGCCCGTAAGAAAAGCTGAAGGAGCAGGAGAAAGCTGGTACTGGGCTCTAAAGCAAAGGGGCAACTGCTGAGTACCAACAAGGTGACCGACTCAGCTCCTGCCCCAGGCTGCTTGTGGAGGCCACTGAAGACAGCCATGGGAGACGGAGCAGAGGAAGCAGAAACACAGCCGGGCCCCAGCTCTCAGAGTGGGGCGGTCAGCCTCACCGAGGGCCCCCGGGAGGCCCAGCACTTTCCTCATTCAGTCAGGCTTCCTGCCTTCCCCGTGCTGCCTAGGTATCAAATATCCGCTCGCTGAAGGGCCCCACTGTGTGTTCTTTTCTTCTCGGCCTCCCTTCTCGTACCCTGTAAAGAGTAGGTGCTAAGCATGGATGGAAATGTTTAAACTGATCCCATGGAAATCCTTTGAGGATAATTGATTAGTTAGTCATTGAGACACCGGGGTGCCCCCTGGCCCTGGGCGCCCAAGGGGTCTTCACAGGAGGAACCCCCTGGGCCATGTGAAAACGAGCCTGTGATCTGGACTCCGCCTCTCTCCAGGGGCAATGTCCACCCCTCACCATCCCAACCTTCTTTGAACGCCAAGCAGCCAATGACCTGGGACAGCCAGTGGCCTGCGGCAGTGTGCTCCTTTACCGGCAGAGAACGAAGGAGTCTGCACTGCAGTCCCAGGGTCCCCACCGATACACACACAGAAGTCAGTCTCCAAGTGGGGTCCAGGCAGGCAGCCCGAGGATAGGGTCCTAGGTTCTAGAAACCTGGACCGCGAGGCCAGGGTGCCCACAAGCCACAGCAGAGAGAGGGACGGGAGAGAACAAACAGCAACGCCAACGCCTGTACAGAAGAACTATACAATTTACATATATATTTATATACAGTATATAAATCTCTTTCTTCTCCATCCCACCAATACCCCTCCCCACAAATAACCTAAAAGTTGTCAGTAGCAGATCCAAAACCTTACAAATACGAGAGAGAACAAACAGTCTTTCTTTCCTTTCCTTTTCCCACTGTGCTGTTAGATATTGGTGTTCACAAACGAAACCAGAAACAAAACACACAAAGCAGAGTTACTAAAAGTGCAAACACGGTAGGCACCACTTATGTTACAGGGGATTGCTGGGCCACGGGCAGCACGGAAGGCTGGGTGTCTGACGGTCCATCCCGTGTCCTTGGACTTTCTACTGCCCTTCGATTTTCTGGTCCTTAGACGAGACGTCCTACTGTCAGGGGAAGGAGAATACAAAAAACAAGACAGGTGTAAGTACGGAGTTGAGTGTATGAGAAATCTAGCTTCATAAATCGGTTCCCCCCGAAGATGAGCCTTTTCATCCTGCAGTTACACATGGGCTCTGGGGGTGGGGGGCACGGTTTGCCTAGGCTTGCGGGTAAGCACACTATACCAGCCCATTCTTTGCCACGCTAAGCAGTTCAGTGGCCCCGGGCATCGGTTTGACCCTTGGAGACCTAGGCTTTGCCCAGCAAGCACAGGGTGAGGTCGCCTTTCAGCCTGGGCTGGGGAGGAATTGGCACGTTTGTTGATAGGCCGGGATGGCACTAACTTAGCCCTAACTCCATCTTTTTCTTGGGTCCTTAGCAACACATATTGAAAATGGTGCCTAAGGAATGTGGACAGTTGTCTCACCAGTGACACCACCACAGCGTCATCAGGGGGTTCACAGAGGAAAGCGGGGAGCCCAGAAAGAAGGCAACTTACTGAACGGGTTCGTGCCTGCTCGTTTTCCCTGGGGGAAGCTGCCAAGGCTACCACCTGCAACAAATAGGAACACGAGACACTCGAGCGGCCCTGACCCAGGGATTCGGGTGAAGCTTCTCTTACGCCTGGGTCCTCACCGCTTCCAGCCGTCAGAATGAAGGCGGGAAGAAGCCAGAAGTTGGGTGGCCACGCTTCCTGTTCTGTGGGTGTCTGTGGCCTCTTTCTGCCTGCAAGAACGCTTTGCTGGCTGACCCCTTAAACAAATCCCTTTTCCCTGCAGCCGGGGCCCTGCTGGGATGCCTCTTGCAAATCCCCATAGCTATCAGTTATGCAGGGTTTTGGTGCTGATGAGATCTGCATAACTTCTTGGTCCTGGTTCTCCAAATGATGCAATGTCAGAGGTAGGGGAATCTCAGCCCTTCCCATGACAACTCTGGAGGCACGAGTCAGAGCAGCTAGTGACTAAGAGGAGGCTCAAGGCTCATTCCTCCCCACAGGCGTCGGCACTTCTGGAGTCTGTCCACGCTGCCTCCTGCAGGGCCGCTGTCTCCTATGGGTGGGCTGCACTGGGGAGCGCTGCACGCAAGCTGGGCCAGCTCCGTGTCGCGCTGGGCACGCCCTTGAACTCCTCTGGATCAGCCCAGGGGATAGGGATTAGGGCACGGCTGCATGGCTTCCCTTCAGCCTCTCTCACAGGATTATGCTGAGGACCAGTGAATTCGTGAAGGAGAAGGGGCTAGGAGAAGCACAGAGCTGTGGAATCCAAGCCCACCCATGGGTCATGTGACTTCACAGCTCCACATCCCCCACACTCCCTGGGGCCAGAGAAAGAGAGACAGAACATGGGTTGGACAGAGGGTAGATACTGGTATAGCCAGTTGTGCAGAAGAGGGCCCAACCTCAGAAAGACAGGGACAAGCCTGAAGCAGGCAGTCGGGAAGGGGCAGAACCGCTGAGACCCAGGAAACGTACATGGGTAACCAAGGTCAGGAAAGAGGGATTCTCAAGGCAACCCCACAGGACAGTGATAAAACGATCCCCATCTTACGATGGTAAAGCTGAGGCTATGAAACGCTTCGAGTGGTCTCCCCAGGGTGGTATAGCTTGCGTGTGAGAAAGCAAATTCAGACCTGGCTCTGCCTCCAGCATCACACTCTGGATCATCAAGAGAGGGCAAGGGGAGAAAAAAGCTGAGGCCAGGGGCAGGCGGCATCTCAGTTGAAAGAAAAAGTTGGCATTTCTGAAACACAGAGGCACCAGTGCCCCACCCTGCTTGCCTCACAGAACGGTGACAATTATCCCAAGGAAGGCACATTATAGACTGGAAAATTCCAGTGAAGACAGAGGCCCCAGCTCTTGAGACGCCTGGCTTTTCGTGCTGGGCAGAAATTCAGATCTCTAGTGAGAGGTCTCGCTGGTTGTGTTCATATGGAATTTACAAAACGTTGGTTCATCAGGTGCAAGGCTATCCTCATCCCCAAGCTCCTCCTCTTCCTCCAACCCCCTCTGGCCCCCACCTAGCATGCAAGCCCCTCTAGGTCCACCAGAGGGCACCATGTGACACCAGATGACCAATGCATGGGCTCCCCTCCCTGGTGCAGCTGCACACCAAGGACCCCAGTGGCTTTTCTGCTGTGCCCGCAAGGCAGAAGGACAGAGGAAGGCTGCCCCTGGGTGGGTTATTTCACTGCTACTAATTTCTTTGGGGCGCTCAACTGTGCTCCTCGCATGCATTATCCTGTCAAGGCCTCACAGCAGATCTATGAGCTGAATACTATTGTCTCCATTTTGCAGATGAGGAAACCGAAATTTGTCAAAGATGGCAGGGCTAGTAAGCAACAGAGCTGGCCTAAGAGCCAGGTCTCTCCGACTTCAGGGCCTCTGCTCTTACCTGTAGCCCTGCCTCTTCCCAATCCTGAGCCTCTGCCTTGCTCCGCAAAGTGAGCACACATTCCAAGTGTGTCTGGCCGTGATGTTGGAGCAACCCCTTCATCCATTTATCTACCTGGTTGTTCATTTATTTGACAAGGGTTCCATGAACTGCTACTAGGTGCCACTCACTAGACGTTAAGAGCTGAGTAGCGCCCAGGGCTTCCAGCGGGTATTAGGAAAGCAAATTGCAGTCCAGTGCGGTAAGTGCTGTTGCGAGAAGCAATAATCTTATAAAAAGTAGCCTTGCTGAGCTTCCGCTGAGTTCTTTCACGGTCTCATTGGTAAACGTGAGACAGTGATAAATGGCATCGCTCCTGTGAACTCACTATGATGAATGTTCTCACGCACTGTCTCCTGTCATCGGCACAACAGCCCTCCGAGGAAGACGTGAGCACCGCTCCCATTTTACAGAGGGAGAAGCTAAGCACGGAATGGCTGAGTGACGCGCTATGGCTCAAGAGCCCGTCTGAGGCAGAGGTAGGACTGGAGCCACGCTGCGACGCGGCGCCGGAGACTCAGCGAGGCATCCTCATCAGACAGGCCGCTCGGCCAGGGCCACGCAGCAGCTAGCCCGAGAACCAGAGCAGAACCCAGCCACGGAGGGGCAGCGCTGAAACGGGCTCCTGCGGCGGCCCACCCCGCCCCACCTCCCAGGGGCGGGTTTACACTGACAACCGAGGAAGGAGGATAAACACTTCCAGCTTCTTGTGCTGACTCTCCCTAAGTAACCTCAGCTTTCCCAAAGCTTCCATTCCCAATAGCAGCTGAACTGGAATCTTCAGCGCACACCTCCCGCCCTACAGCCCCACGCAGCCTGCAGGTGTACCTGCCCTGACCCGTCCGAACCATGCTCCTTCCCTTCCCGCCCGCTGTGCCCGCTGCTCCTCCTTCCACGCTGCCCACCTCAGGGAATGTCCCACCCCAACCTCTGTCCTGGGTCTCACTCAATCACCAACCCACCCGCCTCTCCCCCCGCTGGCTTCCCGGACCAGTCCCTCTCTCACTTCCTGCTGGGACCACACCGCATCTCCGCTTGGGTGGCTCCGCCATGTGCGTTTCTCACCCATCTCCCACACTACAAGCAGAACGATCTGCTAAAGCAAGACTGGTCCTATCGCTTCCCCAGCTGAACCCCTCCAACAAATTTACACTGCCGGTGTAAAGCCTTTCAGCTGGCTTAAAGGTTCTCCGACCTCAACCTGCCTCTTGTCACAGCTCCCTACTGGTGGTATAGTCTAGCGACTGAGTTCCAGCCAGTGAAAGGTACCCCAAGTACCCGGGATCCCATTTCCCGGGACAGCCACTGGTCCCTGTGCCTCAGCGGGGCAGGAGCACAGAGAACAACACTCACCTTCTTTGCTGACGCCCAGGCAGCCCTTCAGCTCAGGCAGGGAGATGACCTTGTCCTTGTTCAGGTCACAGTAGTCGGTGAAACGTCGGGCGCATTTCTTGGGCTTGGCTTTCTTTTTCACATAGCGCTTAAAGGGCTTCATCTCCCGCTTGTTGATGTCGCTGCTGCTGTTGCTGTCCAGCTGGCTGAAGTACCAGTGTACCACGCGCTCCTCCAGGGTGTGGCTGGGGTCTGGCTCTGAGAACCTGGACCACGGCGGACACCCCCACCCCAGAGAACACCGCTCAGGATCATGGAGAAACCTCGAGCCCCACTGTGACGCTCTCACACACGGCTGATGCCCAGGCACTCGCTGTGGCTTGAATGTGCTTTGTCCCCACCAAAACTCAGGTTGAAACTGGTTGCCCATGTAGCTGTACTGGGAGGTGGAGGTAGGGCCTTTTAGAGGGATTAACGTTTTTCACAAGAAACTGAGTGAGTTCTTGTCGCAATGGGTTAGTTCTTGAGAGCCAGTTCTTGTAAAACATATGCTCCCCACCCCAGCCCGTCCTCTCTGCACACGCCTGCTTCCCTCACCCCTTTTTATCATGTGTTGAAGCTGAATGAGGTCTTCACCAAAAGCCCAGGAGATAATGGCACCACGCTCAGACTTCCACAAACATGAGCCAGAATGAATATCCTCTCTTTACAAATAATGCAGTCTCAAGTACTTTGTTATAGCAACAGAAAACATACTAAGACAGTACTTGTGCAGAACTGCCAGCAACCAGGTAGCAACACCTCCTCCAGGCTAAGGACCTCCCAGAGCTGCTCAGCTTCCAGTCTGAAGATTAAACAAGCTTTTTTCCCCAAGTAGGTGATCTTTATCACATGAACCTGCTTCACCCTGTACTATAGGACATGTTTTGTACAAGATGAGTGCTCAAGACAAATTGGCCGGATTTAATCCACCGGAGTGAACCACAGCTGGAATCCAAACTGTCCTTCTCCTGGCCTAGAGCTCATCTTCACACAGGATGCTCTTCTCACAGAAATTTGTTCACAGATAGACTCAACTACGGGAACCTGAGCTCTGAGTGCCCACCACACTCCCCGTGACAAGCCGGGTCCTGAGAAGGTCCCTAAAGAGGGAGGTGTAACCCTCGTGTTAAGCTGCTGGCTGTCTCAGTGAGAACTGTGAACACGGCATGACAATTCGATGGGAATCGGGATGTTCCCATAGTCCATCACTGCTGGGCACAAAGGACAGCAAAAATCGAGAGAAGAAGGCAACTGGTACAGATAGAGAGATTCAAAAAGAGGCAAATCTAAGGCCTGCTGCAGAGTCTCTCCAACCTAAGACTTCAGTCAGGAGATCCAAGGTGGGCCCGGAGACCACATGTTAACCAGCACCAGCACTGGCCTGGAGTGACCAGGAACACACCATGGTGTCCAGATGAACAGTCGTGACCAGAGCTAGCACAGCCTACATCTGATGACCATGAAGTTGCAAGGCCAAGGTCTATTTGTAGAGCTGCATGCAATAGTCTGTCTATCTACCCATCCATCTATCTATGCCTCCCTCTTTTCTCTAAAGAAGAAGTCTGGGTGATAACTAATAATTACAACCTTTAAATAGAAGGGTCTATTCCAGAGGATGTGGCTGGAGTCTCTGGATGTGGCTGGATGTGGCCAGAAGAACAGAGACACATGAGTCCCTTGGCCCCTGGTCCCAGGGCCTGATCCTGAGTGAATGTGGGCCAGGCCATGTCCCACTGCCTGGAAAGGGGAAGGAGGCTGAGGTTGTGAGTCCCCTACATTCCAGCACGTAGTGTGTAGGGCACCGGGATACAGTGCATGCCGGAGGGACTGTTACGCAGGGATCCCAGGCCAGGGGATCAAGGCCAGTGTAGCACATTCAGAAGCTGTACCTGATAAGAAAAGCGTTCAAGGCACTGGCGGATGCCACCCTGTCTTTTCTGGGGTTTGCTAAGATTTCCAAAAGAAAAGGAACCATTCCTAATCTTTCCTCTGTGAACAAGCCAGTAATTCCCTCCCTACTTCACACCTCCCAAGTGACTTCAATGTCAAAGAAAAAGAAGTTTCATTAAAAAAACAAAAAAAAAACCAGCCATCCCTGCTAGATGTCCATTCCTAATTAGGTGGATTTCAGTCTTGGGCAGGTCCCCTGGTCATGCTGGACAGAGCCCAAGAGGGCACAATTAGCAGATGGCCAGTGGGATGCCTCCTGACAGGTTTAACCCAGGGAGCACCTGGGGGAAGGTGTGAGGGAGCCACACAGAGCTGCCCTGGCCTCAGATTCTAGGGGAAGCCTGTCATGGAAACCAGACCAGGACGTCTTTGAAATGCACGAGGCTATTCCCTGAAGAGCTCAGATTCTGTTGCTGTCAGTGTTTTGGTGTTTTTCTTCTTCCTCTATTTACCTGCAACGTTCGCTCCCAAGTCTACCCCTGCAGGGCAGTCCAAGGAGGCAGGCAGGAAGTCCTCTGTGGGGGTGCTCAGGGTATAGGAAGGGGAGCTCCCCACCTGTGTCGGCCATCCTTGACACCAGGGAGGACCCAGCCTCGGAGGAGACAGAGGAGCCCGAGGGGGCTCCTGCAGAGGCTCCTGCACTTGCAGGAAGCAGTCGGGGACCTTGCCCCTCAGCCCCTCCTGCCAGGGAGCCATGGGAGCTCTGAGGCAGAGGCAGCTCTTCCTTTAACCTTTAGGCTGGGCATAGCGTAATGTCTACCTAGAGGCTGGAATAATAAAGCCTCAGTCGCTGAGACGGGAAGGGATGAAGTCATCTGACCCAGAGGCCCTGCCAGGGAAGGCTTGCTCCCTCCAACACGTGTTCCCTAGGCTCCGCCAGTGAGTTTTCAGCAACTCCATTGATAGAGCTCCCCCCACACCCACCTTCCTTGGGGCTATTTTTGCAGCAAGAAGCAGTTCTGCTTCCCAACTAGCAGCCAAAGCGGGATCCTCACCTGGCCCCTGCTCCCTGTCCCTCCCTGGTCTCTGACCGGCCCCTTCTGCCTGGTCCCTCCTCAGAGCCGCAGCCTTGCTCTCTTCTTGCCCAGCAGGACCTCACAGTGCAGCCGTGAAGTCCACTGCTGGCCTGCACAGCGAGTCCTGCTGGGCCACTGACCAGACTCGGGCTGCGAGGTGCCAGGGCGCTTCCTCAGGAGCGGAGCTAGGCCCTCCCACGGCCTGTAAGGGGCCTGCCTCCCTACCCTTTCTTCCCAGCTAGTGTGGACTCCTATTCCAAACCCCTTCGGCCCTAGTAACGGAGCCCCAGCTCTACCTGTGATTTTGGGTAGTGCTAGGGTCACACCTAGGCACTAGGGAAAACCCCACATGCCTTTCTCCAAGAACTTCTTACCTTTTGGTACCTGAGTGATTACGGCCCATCTGAGAACCTAAACACAGCTCTAAACATAGGCCCTGTCTCTAGAAAAACCAACATAGGTCTGGAGATTTTAGGGGATTAATGGACTCCCCACCGCCCACCCAAAGTCCTCCATGGGCTCAGGTAAAGCACCCTCCATCAAGAGGGATGTAAATCCCAGCCACAGTTCCAGAATATTTAAACATGATGCTTCTGGAAGACAACAGAGGAAGGCCAAAAATAGTCACTGAAAAGGATTTGGGATAGTTTCCATATTTTTAATAAAACAGAATTTATTTAAAAAAAAAAAAAAAAAAAACCGAAAACACCGAATGCATCTGACCTAAAACTCTGTAAATCAAGTTCCCAGCTTGGCAACAGCCTTAAACCACAAACAAGGCTGGCAGTCTTGGTTTATACGAGCTCCTGCTAAGACTGAGATGCTTTAGGAGTCCTGGAATAGCCAAACCCTGAGAGAGCACACATGTACGCAGATCAGCCAGCAAGGTCTCGTGAAGGCCACAGCTCTCAGACTCTTGACAATCTACCTGGTAAAGCTCTCTCACACATATTCCTCTCCACAAGCAACATGGACATCTGACCTGCTCCCCACATCTGGGCTAGCAGTGAAGTTTCTTTCTCCCACCAAACAGGCAGCTCAATGGTCACTAACTCTTTTCTCATTATTTCCAGTTTTCCTTCTCTCAATCCAACTGGCAAGCCACAGCACCCCAAGGCAGCTGGAGAGCATGCAATCCTCAGTAGGTAGGGCTGATAGCGCCTTGTAATTTAAGAAGCTATAGACAGAGATCTCATCCCTCAGCACCCCATAAAGGATTATGAGATTTATGGCTCTCAGGAGTCTTTGTCAATTAACTGAGCAGGTTCTGAGAGTCTTCTTTAGGGAGTGCTGGATATAGGAGGCAGAAGGTCTCCCCCAGACTGTGAAGAAGTTTGTTAAGCCATCTTTGTTAGAGTTCTTCCCAGCACAGACACCTTGACCTCCAAGCCGTATTCCACCATCCCCGTCTGCTCTTTCCACCTGTTGGCCATGTCCTTTTAAAACACCCACAGCTCCCCCTTTCCACCGCGGACTGACACTGGCATCAGACCACCAGTCTCACCCTCACCTGTGCACATATACACACCCACGGGGGTCAGGAACCCCAAATCAGAGGGTGCAATGGCTCCTTAAGATCACTAACTACATTTGCTGGTCTATACTATGACCCTTCCATAGGTGAAGTTCTATTGAAAGGGCTCACTGGGGAGGTAAAATGCACACGTTTCCTCAGATACAGTATGGAAAAATACAGCCAAACAAGACCAAGTTCCAAATTTTGGAAGGCTGTTGTTCGGTGCAATACTAGTGTCTGCCCTGCTCCTGAGCTGTTTTGGAGACTGTCTTCTCCAGGGTTGGGGAACCCACTTATACCAGGTCCCTCCTGGAACAGCTCCGCTGATCCTTCTCCCAACTGGGGGGCGGGGGGCGCCCTTCACCTGTGGCACTTTCAGTTTTGTTTCTGCAGCCGCAGCCGTGCCAGGCTTTGGCCACAGTGCGCAGCTGGAAAGCCGGCCCTGCTTACCACAACTTGCTTTGGCCAAGCGCTCAGGGGCCATCCTGCCATCCTAAGCAGTTTTAGAGAAGGTAAGGCCGGACGGCCTGGAGGTCTGAGCCAAGCCAAGCAGACCAACCGAGCCCCATGTGGAGTTGGGTCCAGGCCCCACCAGCTGTGCGGGTGGAGCTGGGAAACGCCAAGTCAGCCACATTCCAGCCTCTTCCCTGCAAAGCCATCAACGCAAGGGCATTGTGCAGGGGGATGGCGCCAGGGCACACACAGGCAGCCTCAGCTACGGGCATGTGACAGTCCCTCCCAC